TCACTGTGAGTAAAGTAATTTGAGGGAATAACATAAACATAATGAACCCATTATTCTTCAAATGCCAACAAAATCACAGAAATAGTTCTCTGCTCTGTGGGTTAAAATGCTCAGAAGTTTTCATTTTAAATAAATGATTAAATGTCATTCTGACTAAAGGCAAGGGTGGTATATGATTTAAAATACCTGCTAGGGCCATAGTCAGCATGACAAAGTTGAACTGGGCATGGAGAGATTTTATCAACAAATTTTCACACTTAACATTTAACAGATATTCTGTCGAGGTCTCTGCATGCCCAAAATTGACCTGTTAAAACCAATTTCTTGTATCTTTCTACCCTACTCCACTTTTCCTCCACTGTCTCATACAAGCTTCTGTAATTGCAGTCTTCTGTCCAAAGCCAAATCCTACCCTTAAAAGGCTAAACTAAAAAGCAGACTAAATAAATCTTGTCTCCAGCTCTTTGCCTGGGCTTTCTGTGTTCCTTCTACCTTCCTGCTTAGGTCTCACTCTTGGTATATGAACAGTATCCTCTTCTCTGGGCCTCAAACTGGGAGTCATTCCTGGACTTTTGAAACTTCTGTGTTTTACTCTTCCCCTGGGACTGTCGTTAGATAGCTTTCTTACACATGTGACTTTTCCCTAGAAAGTAATGTGGAGCAATTCCCACCGAAAGTCCTCCTTTTCCATCCTTCTCCTTCAGCTGGACTATCATCTTTTGTCCTACAAGGCAGAAACTAGCGGGATTGATGGAGGTCTTAATCTGCATCCCACTAAATGCTCCTCTAGCTTCTCTTAAAGAAGTTGTTCAGCAAAAGAAAAAAAGTATCATCTTGAGTAGCTTTCAAAAATAGAGAAAAAGAGATTTTCCCTGAGGAGCAGTAAGTGAGAGAGCTTCTGGAAGTCAGTGCATCCACAAAGGGCAGTAAGTGAAGAAGCTTTTGTAGGAACAACAAACATCTAAAAATCAAAGAGCATTTGAAAAGATGTTTGTTGCCCAAGTCTCCACCCATCTCAAAATCTTTAATCATTAATATAATGAAAATCTCTGCTGTTTCAAGGAACTGACTACTCCAGTTGGCCAAAAGGAAGAAGTCCATATGAGCAGACGGTAAAAACTGTAGGTGCCCTAGGAAAGACAGACTACCAAAAATTTATTATATGGTAATTTTTTTCTCTAAGTCACAGAAATTAATCTACATTTTTAGATTGAGCACTCATGTATGTCTTATGCTCAGAATATGTCAGGTTGAAACACCCAAAACATAAAAATTAAAAGCCATAAAGTGACATCACTGATTTAAGAACCTGAGGGCCAAAACTGTGCTGTCATAAAAAAAAAAAAAACACCACTATTTACTATCTTCAAATGTGAAATTGAGATAGAGATATATATATATTGTCATTTAATGTAAACTTCCCTTGAGTCAGCTGTAATAAACAACTGGAGAAATAAACAAGGGATTTGAGAATGTGTATGAAACAGAAGGTTGCAAGAAAGAAAAAGAGAATATTATAAAGGCTGAGTAAAAGAAAAATTAAAAAAAATAATATGACTGCAGTCATTGGGTCTCAACCATTAGCCAGCACTCTACTCAGACTGTAAGATCATGCAGGGACCTGTAGGGGATTGCTGGTTTTATTTATCAGTGGTCAGACTCCAAACAACTTCAATGGGAGGTTTTTCCTCTTGGCAGTAGTTTTATTTCTCTCATTAGCCTGCCAGTGCAAAAAGAATCCAATCAGTATGAATATACAGATGCATTCAAAACAGATGCTCTCAAGGCTCTCTATTAATCAAAAAATTCACTGCTACTTTTAAAAGATTCATCATTGTTTTCAGAGCTGAACAAATAATTCATGAGTAACTTACTAAATTCAGCCTACTTTGGTTCAAAGATTATCAATGTGAAGATCATGATTTCCTCAAATGTATTCATGTTTGAAGGTGATGAATATGTTAGCACATAGTTTGCTCTGTGGATCCTGATAATCCAACTGTAAACTGTATTCTTTGCTGTGATTTGTCAAAGTAATCAGATGGCACTTGGTGTTTGATCAGTGAGTGTGAAGGTACTGCCAAACAATCAAGATCATTCCCATGTTTGTGTCCATAATGCTGTAACACTCAATCTGAGAACTCAGACGCTGGAACATGAAAAGTCAAAACAGCATCAAAATGGAAAACAAATTTATTCTAAACCAGATACGCTTTACAGAGAAGCAAAGTGTATGTCTCAGAAAGAAAAGTTACATGCAAATTTCAGACACCTTTTTTGCTCTCCAAATTTAGTCTAGATAGGTGTTGAAGATACTATATGTGTTTTACTCTACTACAGCTGTAACTGTACTTGTCTTCAAATCAGAAAGCTCAGAAGTGCAAAAGGAGCTTCCAGATGTATCTGTGTCTATGCAAACCTTTAGCTTAATTGTGCTGCATTTCTACAATAAACTTTAATACCTTTTCCAGGTCTAGTCTTTTATCAGTTTAATCAAACACATTTTAATTCAGGTGATACAGCTCCTGTGAAGAAGCTATGATCCACAGACCAGAGAGCAAAGAACTATTTTTATAGCTCTTAAAGAATGGCTATAGTGATATCAGTGTAAAATCCCTAACAAAAACTATACTCACAGAATATAGTCCCTTTTATTATACACTTCCAAGTCTTTAAATAGAAAAAAGAACAGATGCCAAAGAAGAGCCATATGTTTTAAATGTAGCTGTATACAAGCATGATTTTATTTTTTCTGACAGAAAATCTATAACTTGAGTGGGAACTTACTGAGTGGAATCCTCAATGCCATATTTCTGGCTGAAGAAATAAACTCCCTATAGAATATGTCGAAGTCTGAACTGAGAAATTGAGACATTTTGATAACAATTCAATACTTGTCTCAAAACATCCAATTGCTTTGAAGTGGTTGGTGGGAGGAGACAAACTGTTAATTTTGGATTTATCTGGCAGAATTTGTGTCTTGCACTATAAACAGCCACTTGCTCCCCTTGAAGTTGTTGGCAGCTAGCATGCATTTAAACCGATGCTTGGAGTCCAAACTAGCCCACTACTGCAGCAGCCCAATCAGCCTCTCTCTACTTAAAAAAGCCATCTTTTCTGAATGTAGATGATGGGAAAGAAAATGGTTAATAAGATCTCAAATGTCACAGCAAGTTCCTGCGCTGGCTGCAGAAAATACATTTTCTGTAAATTCTTATGTCGCTAGATCATCTTCAAAGGTGTAATGAACACACTGATGCCTTACGGTCAACAAACCTCCCTGATGCACCTCTGAACACAAATCTGTATCTTCAAATTTGAGCACCTATCATGTAATTTGTATCTGAGACCAGAGGTTGCCCATCTCTCCTGAGTTTTATAGCCCCTTTTAGCTCTGGATCCCTGATCTAGAGCCAGGAGTCTCCTAGGAACTGGAACATTGCAGGAAACTTCTGGTTGCATGTGAAAAATAACCACAAATTAAACACAGAAAAATTCATTCAGAAAATATTTTCAGAAGATTAAGGGTATGGACACACAAATAAGAAGGTAAAGCCTGATGCATAAACTGGGAGCAAATACCACTGCAACAGCTGTGTTTATTTGCAAGAAATGAGCAGGCTGTATATTGAAAAGTCCATCTGACAGATTAACAAATTCAGCATGGATTTGTCCAGAGTTAAATCTGTCACTGGTCTGATGGTGCTAAATTGCTTTTAGGAGTTCACAGCATTTTGAAACCGGGACACTTGACATGGAAAAGTGAACATGTTAACCTGAAGTAAAGGTTTAGAACAAATTGTTTTTGTGAAGTGTCATTTATACAAAGAGCTGATTAAAAAGAAAAAAAAAAAAAAAAAAGGAAAAAAGGCCCTGAATGAGAAGAACACAACAGAAGAAAACTTCCAGTGTGATTCAGTAACACTTCCAATGTAATGCTGGGCTACAAACAACCTGCAAAAATTGGGACCTTGCAAACACCTATCAACATTCATATAACTGAAGACCAGTTTTTTAAAACGGAGAGCTTTCCCTACTGACTTACTAAAAGGTATCTATGTTAGTAGTGGTTTTAGAACTGTCTGCTCCATCAACTTCTCAACACACTGCACCTGATCCCAGGTACTTGGGCAACACAACCAACGACAGGCTGCAAGGCAGAATTGTTGCCAAGTATGCAATCCGAAGAATAATGAAACATGCAGGAGTTTAAAGTTCACAGACAGCACAAATTTCTGGCATGTAAGAAAGGTAAGCAGAGATTATTGAAGTTGCAGGAAGGTGAGCTGTTTATTTAAAGAAAGCAAATGGTGTTTTCTGCTTTTGCTATTAAGCAGAACAGTTTAACAGTTAAGGCCTTCCTTAAACTGTTCATATTAATGTAATGACTAGAGTGTCTCTGACCTGGAAGAACAAGGGAAATTCTCTCTCAACATGAGCGATTACCTGAGCATACAGTCAATAACAAGAGATACACACATGCAGTTGAAGCTAGAAACCAGGATTTATAAACCTTGTACAACTGACAGCAACAATCAGAGGTTACTAAATAAGGGAAAACACTATCAGGGAGCATCCAGAAGCTGCTCTCTGCTATTTAGCAGTGCTCAGCAGGACACCTTGTCTTCAGGTGATTTCAAAACACTGGTGGTAATTCCTTCTTTCTGGACTTGTAGACTTTGTAGCAAAAGGGCTGCTACAGACATGGAACCGGGGATAGTAGCCTCAAAATTTCACATTATGAGGCAGAAATAAAAACATGCAATTAAGTCGTTCAGATTTGGGACTTGTACTAACATGGCTGGAGAAATGAGAATTCCCTGGCTGGCCATAACAGCCCTGTCTGAGGTCACTGTAATGTATCAGCTCCCTGGAGCGAGGACCTGAAAGCTTTTCACTAGAAGAAGAAGGGCGTTTTGGAAAGGAAAATATTGAAATTGCTGCTTATTCAGATCCAGAACACAGGTAAAATCAAGCAGATATCCAGCAGGCTATTGCATTGAGAATTTTTTTATTTCAACTTTTGCGCTTTCTCTGCTTCAACACAGGTTTTAAGTGCTAGTGACAAAGGTACAATATCCATGGCAGGGTGCCCTTTTCTTGAAATTGCACATTGGCTACAAAGATGAAAGTCATCCAGATCTTCACATGCTCTAAGTCTGCAGTATCACAGCAGCCCATCTCGCTGTGGTGTCAGGCCATGCCCTCTTAAGAGGAATGTGATAAGGAGTGCTTTGGGAGGCAAAAGTTAGAGGAAGAGAGAGAATCAACCTTTTGTTTCACTCTTCTGTCCCTCTTACAAGCCCAGAACTGAGGACTCTGGGTGGTAGGAGGAAGTGCAGGGTCCTGTTACAAACCAGAGGCTGTCTGAAGCATCCCTCCCACACAGAAAACACAGAGGCTTGGCTGTGGTCAGCCCTGTTGTACTGCAGTGCCCTTCTGCTTCAGCACAGAGGCAGGGACGGTCCCCTCCCTGTCCTCAGGGAGGTTTGTTCTTTAACACAATTAAACTGGAGCATGGCAAGTGTGACCCTGGAGCCTCTCATATGGGGATAGAGTCAGAGAATCATTTAGGTTCGAAAAGACCTTTGAGATCATCGAATCCAGCCATTAACACAGCACTGCCAAGCCCACCACTAAACCTAAGTGTCACATTTACACATCTTTTAAATACCTCCAGGATGGGGACTGCACCACCTGCTCAGGCAACCTGTGCCAATGATTGAGTGATAGCCAAACCAAAACCACCACCTGAGGAAGCTGCTGCCCTCTGGCACAATGTGAATTCATCAGCAGCACCTACCTCAGTAGAATAGGGGACAGCACACGGTGACAGACATGGGACAGGGACTCCAGACCAATCCAGCATGCTTTGTTGCTGCTTCCTTTGCTGTGGACACATCCAGCCACAGCTGGGCTAAAGCCTTTCCTCTGACAGCAGCCCCTCACCCAGCTGCCAATGCTGGAGAGACTGAGCGAGCAGGATGCCAGCAAGCTTCACAATTGTGTTCCCTCTGTGAAAGACACCTGCTGCAATTCCTTTGTCATAGTGTGGCTCTGATGTGAAAAGGAAATTGGGTTTTATTACAAAATTGAACTTTATGAAAACACACCCTCCCCCTGCTATCAAATGCATTTCTACAAACAGAAAATCTAACTCTGCAGTGGGGTTTTTTTTTTCTTTTTCTGAATCTGAATAGTACAGAGGACACTGCGATATAAATGGAAACATTACAATCATGTAGCAGACAAAGCAGTGCTAGGCTGTATCACTCGATCACTAGGGTCTCCTTCACGAAAAGGAAAAGACTGATTGACTATAAAAGAAAATATTAAATAGCTGTAGTTTACCTACAAAGCCTTTAAAGCACAGATTGCTATTATCTAGGGGATACTGATGCAGAGAGATAACATGGGTCATGCACTACAAAAAAATAATAAGACAAGGACCACATCTGATACTGTAGAGCAAGAAATATTTGCTCTTCCAGGGGGTGACCAGACCGAGACCATAGGTCGGTTCTCAGAGCCAATATCATTATTTAAAAGCACCTGTACCCTCAGTGTAATGCACCCTTTGCTGCTTTATGCTAGACAAAGCAGCTGGGCATTTTTCTTATCACCTCAAGAGATGGTCTTTAATTTTTGTTCAGAAATTATTTTTAAGTAGTTTCAGGTAAGTGCTTGTTATGGTTCTATAAAGGTATCTGTAAAGACATCAAAGTGTGTGTGCCCTGCGCATTGACGCACCTTCCCGCATTGGCACACAAAGCTTAGTGGGACAGGGCCAAGGTTACACAGGCCTCCCAGAGCTCAGATGCTCATTGTAACAAGACAATCTGAAATTAAAATCATGAACTGTAAAGCTCACAAAAGTAGATGTCTTCAAATCGAGGATGACATTATCTTTTCTGTTTTCTATTTTCCCTTCTCTTTCATTCTTTCTTTTTAAACATTTTGCCACTGGTTCAGTTTTAAAAGGGGGTTCCAAGCCAAACCAGTGCCAAGGAAGAAGCAAGCTCATGGAAGAGCAGAGTATGTGGCTGGCAGTACTTCTGAACTCAACTTTGAGAGATTTTTGGTAAGTCTGTGGAACAGTCTTTAGGAACAAATTTAATTTTCATCTAAGGTCTCCTCTCTCTTTGCCACAAAACGATGTTTTAAAGCAGGACCAACTTCATCTGTACAGCTGTCATTTTTCAAATGAATCATAGAAAAATACATTACTCAAATCCCTCTTTCAGAGATTTCTGCCATGTCTTGTGGAGTTGTTGGCAGTGTGGGTATTGAATGTCCTTATTAATCTTAGGAAGGGAAAACAGAGGGTTTCCCTCCTTCCTTAAGAGCTTTGTGTGAAAACCACCCAATTTTTGTTTATCGCAAATACTTTCAGGAAGTCAGTCATAAACCTGATGCACTAATGACCTATAGTACAAAAATAATTTTTCAATATTTGTGAGAGGGTTAAATTCACCAAGCTTTGTCTTAAAGGGAATGACAAGTTGGTAATATTATGCCTTCCCCATAAAATTCTCATGAGTATCCTACATGCTACAGCACTATTTCAACTGAACACAAAAAGGGGTATTCAATTCTGATTTTATCATAAGGCACACAGAATTTGGAATCTTTGATTCATAGGGCACTTAGTTCTCTTTCCTGTGTAAATTCTAGTCATTTTATCCACATAGAAAAGAATGGGAGTACAATCCCAGGACACCCCACAGACACAAATACCAGGAAGCAAATGAAAATAATCTGCAGCATATGAAAACCATGATGTTTCAAAGAATAACAACAGGTTAATTAATGTTGCTCCAGAAATAGTCATTTTGTAATTGCAAAGTCTACTGCTAGGAATGCACAGCTAGGTCTTAAACATCTGTGTTAGTTTCCAAGTATCATTTTAGAAAAAGCAATTTCATCCCTATGCTACATAACCAGCTCCAATCAATATGTCTTCCTCCATGTAATGTCTATTAAGTGCATCCCTTGGCGACAGAACAACACACAATATGGACACAAGTCAGGAAAAAATCTACAGTATCTAGTCAGCATCTGTGTATCACTGAAACTCCTCTCTCTGCAACCTATCACAAGAGTGACTCGTGCTTGGGATTGTATTCCAAGGGGTCTGCTGCAGGAAACAGCCATCACACACGTTTGTAGTGAATCTACTCTGGCCAGGCCACTAAGACTTCCCAAGGGAATCAGCTGCTCCTTACAAGCACCGTTTGCATGGTAAAGACCCTGTATTAATCACCCCCAATATAAATGCATAACCCAAATTAACCCTAAAAATAACTCCCCATATAGAGATGTGCAATACTTGGTTTATGTGTGTTTTCATTTCACAACAGCCTTGTTACACCAATTACTCTTGTTGGTTTGGCAAAAGTTAGATTTGCTGAGTGCCAAATTCTGCACACAGATGTATGTGCCTGGCTACAGCTGAAATAAAAATCAGAGGCTTTGAATTCCAGTTTTCTTTTTATTCCTCTGCTCTGGAAGACAGTCTATCAGTCACAGACAAATTGAATATGATGTGCACCCATAAGCATGCCCAAATGGCTTTATGCAGGCAAAAGAAAACGGGGCCATTAGCATTTAGAAGTGCTTTTATGAGGTATGCATTTAGTAACTATGTTTACAGCTGGGGTCTGGGAGATGATTTCAGGAATGGCATGAGGGGAATTGAATGCAGCAGTGGAGGAAAAGGAGGAGGAGGAGAAGAACGAGGAGGCCTAAACCTGATCTAACCCTAACACTAACCCTAACCCTAACCCAAACCCCTAACCCAAACTTAACCTTAACCCCTAAGTTTAGACCTACCCGTGAACATAACCCTAACCCTAAATCCAAACCCTTACTCTAACCTCCAACCCTAACCCTAAGCCTAACCCCCAACCCTTACCCTAACCCTAAGCCTAACCCCAACCCTAACCCCCCACTCCACCCCATAATAAGGGTTAGGGTTGGGGTTAGGCTTAGGGTGACTGTTAGGCTTAGGTTTCAGATTAGGGCCTCCTCCTCCTCTTCTTCCTCCTCTTCTTCCTCCTTCTCCTCCTCCTGAACCAGCTTGGGGTAGGTCCACTTGAATTTGCTTTCTGGAGTGACCCCATTTGGAGGTTTCTCCCCAAATTTGGCCTAAACCAGGACACAGTCAAATAAATGATGGCAGCAGCCTGATCCTCATCCTGAAAATGGGTGATATTCCTTTTATTTTGGCAAGTATATGAAACCACGGGGACTGGAAAATGTTCTTCCCCTTTCTGCCCCTGCTCCATGCTCTTTCCTCCCTTCCCATTTGGCCTCCTTTAACATATTCTAGGTTCTGGGCAAAATGGCACAGAAAAGGAGTGAGATACAATCAGGAACCCACCCTTCTTTTTGAACCTTCTTTTTGTTTGTGTGGGATTTTTTTTCCCATGCTGTAGCTAGTTGAAGAGAGAAACTGATCAGTATTCAGTTGTGGGCTTTATCCAAACTTCCTTTTGGTGTCTTTTCACTCTTGTTTTCTGTCCTGATGCCCAGTTAGACCAGTCTGAAAGTAATTTACAGCACATACCCATGATCTTTGGTGACACCTTTTCAAGGGTCACAGATAAGAAGTACCAATGTCAATTTATATGTCTGCAAGCCCATCTTCCTAAGAGAACTGCTGTCCCTAAACTCTGTGGATGTCTTGTGGTGCTTCTCCACTCACACAGAGCTGTGGTGAGCTCTCAGAGCAGGGAGCTCTTTGCTGAAACAGAATGATAGTTAAAGCACAAAGCATCATGTTTGGAATGGCAACAGCAGCTGCTGCTTAGCTGTTGAATAAACTTTAAAAAATTCAGTCTGTGACTAAAAATACCCCACAGCTGCACTTTATTTCAGTACCTGAGGAGATGTGCCTTATGTATCACCTGGGAGTCTGACTCCACATTCTATGTTTTTTCATGCCATCCCTACTACCTGGACCCAAAGTTCTGGAAAGTGAGAATAGTACAGGACTGCACATCCAGATATGAGCTCCTGCTCCAAAACATGGCTCTTTCTTCATAAAGATGAGCTTGTAATTCTATCTTTAATAATCTGTGTGGCTGAGGGGGAGCACCTGCTTTGTAGGCCAAGTTATCAGGTTAAGTACAAATTTGAGAGAGTCTGAGACTTAATGATATAAAATTCTGCTCAGAACTGTAACTGGGATGCTCCCAGTCCACCTCTTCCCAGGATTATTAGGCAGTAAGAGGGTAAGCAGGAGACATAGAAAATAGGTGTGCTGCTCCCCTTGTTTAATTTTACTCTCATACATGAATAAAAATAAAGAAAGATGAATATTTTATAACCTTTGCTTTCATCATAAATAATTTTGTGACAGCTCAGCATTCCTGTAGATTATTTACAGCTTTTTGGTTGATGTGTGCTCCAAAAACATTTGAAAAAATAATGTTTTTTTGGATATTGCCACAGTAGCATTAGTACACCTTTGAGATTTCCTATATTCCTTTCAAGAACACTCCAGGCTGAGGGTCCACAAACTCCTTTTCATGGAGCTGTTCTTTAATAAAACACCAACACTCTTGCTCCAAAAATGCCAAATATAGTTGAGAGAACTCCTTGATAACGTATTTTTGCAAAAACTATTTATATTCATAGATTCCTGACAGTTCATCTTGATACAATTTCTGCACTTACCCTTCTGATTCTAATTTTTTTTGGTTTAAGATTTGGAAAAGAAACTAAAGCTCTAATCAAGGAAAAAGATACATAACTACATAAATTACTTACTCTGTGTGCACAATTACTTGTAAATAGCCATGAATCTTTCTTTAAAGCAAGACAAAACTTCAAATAGTCTGCTTAACTGTAAATTTAAACATATTTCACTTTCAGGCTTCACCGCTTCCAATATGAATCAGCCTATTATCTTTAAATATGAAATTAGAAAAAAGATTTGCTCTTTGTGTATACTCAAAGATTAACATTTCCCTGAGATTAAGAGTGTGTTTCTTGACGATGAAGAGCACATAACACCAAGAAACACAGTTTAATAATGCTTCTCAGGAGCAATT